AATAATAATGCAGGGTAAATATGCTAAGTGCTCAAAGAATGAAATAGACAAAGTTCCATGAGAAGGGAGAAGAGAGAATGCTTTAATTCAGACTTCAGGGGTAGAGAATGGAGAGTTAGATTTCACCCCAGCTGAGAGGGGTGAGGATGGTAGAGGAGGAAGCACATTCTGAATCAGTAGAAATAGCCCCCAAAGGCTCTGTGTGATCTGAAAGTTCATGGTGAGCTTGGAAAATAGCCAAGTAGTCTGGCATGACTTGTGCAAGGTGACGGTGGGGGATGGCAGGGAGGCATAGTGTCCACGAGTATGGCCTTCCCTTTTAGGTTCTCCTTGCAGTATAAATCAAAGATACTGTCAGTTCACACACTGTGGTGGACTCACTGTCATCAGAGTTCAAGTCTTGAGCCCACCCCCTCATTCAACCAGAGTGTCGGAAACAGCATTGGATTAGGAACCCAGAAAACTGGGTTTCACTGCAGGCTTAGCTATTAAGTAGCTGTGATCTTGGGTAAGTGACTGTTCTTCGATGAGTCTTGATTTCCTTTTCTGCAAATCAGAATGGTGATAGCGCCTACCTCATGGTTGTTAAGAGCTTAAATGAGATAATGCATAAAAGGCATTTAGCACAGTGCTCTCAGCATATAGCCACTGCCTTCTAGTTTTAAATAATATTTTGATGCCTCATCTTCCTTCTTAAATGAACTGACTTTATTTTAGCTATTGATAACTTATAACACACGGGGGGGGGGGGAGGAAATCCCTCCGCTCAGAGTGGTTGCATTAATTTGGAAATAAGATCCTATTTATTTCCTTTTCTATAAAAAGCACCCTAGAAGGGTGCTCACTTGTATTTGTAGAACAAGCATTTTGCACATTTTGAGATCTAAGGCTTAGGAAATTGGACTTTCGTGCATATCCAAGATAATTGTATCATAGAGCTCTTTTTCGTTGCTTGACACTTGCTCTGGAGTCTTCCAGTGAGTTTGCAGAAGTTCCAAGAAGATAGTCTTCTCTAGTTACCTACTAAGTGCTGAAGTTGTCCTTCTCGTGCCTGTTCCCATCCTGTGTCGAAAGGCTCTCACATCACTGTTAGCCTTTACCACCACTCCTGCAGCAGTGTTGCAGCTTGACCTTTTCATTGATTCATGCTTTGCCTTCCCTTTAGACCTTTTGAATTCTTTTCTGAACCTTGAAAAGACAGGAGAGTATGAAAGCTTGACCTGGATCTCTCTTAGGCCACGGGGAAGAGTACCAACTTATGTTCCAAAACTGGGGTACTACCTCTTTAATTTCTCTTTTAAACGTAATCTGTCTGTAAAATTAAAGTTTTTTTTTTTTTTTTTTTTTTTTTTTTACTTAAAGCACAACCTTTAAGAAAAGCATTTTTTGTTAAAGGGAAATCTTAATGGGGAGAAGGAGAGATAACAAATTGGAAGAGAATGTCTGGTAGCACAGACTTCGGCAAGTTTGAGGCTCTTGGTGAAATTTCAAACAGTCCAAATGGAAAATTACCCAGTCTGTTTCCTCAAGATAGACTTGTTTGTACAGCTACTCAAAGTTTAAATGGCAGAACAGTAGGTACGCACACTGTACTTATAAGCCGTGTTTGTATTACAATGCTGTGTTTTTAACCTCCTTTTAGTTTGGAACACAAGCTGGTTAATGTCTTAGTTCTGTGCTTCCTGGATTATTAGGGAATAGCTCTGTTGTGTTTAATAACCAGAAAAAAAAAGAAAAAAAAAACAGGCAAATAACTCCACTAAAAATATCTTTCATCTCTTAGGTTTTTACTTCTCTTTTATAGGAAGAATATTTTAAAGTTAGATATTGAATCCCAGCCTCATGAGACCAAAGAGTGTTCAGATATCTGAGGGTCCTTGAGTATATTCTTATTTTGTAGAGACTCGTTAAAGGAACTCACAGGAAAACTTGAATTCATGAGCAGATCTGGTGCATCTCTGATAATCATGTTTTATATGATTATGGGCAATGGCAATAATAACTAATATTTGTATTGTACCGTGGAGTTTTGCAAAACACCTTCCTATGCATTATCTTCTTGCCTATCTTCTTCTAAGTATAATTACGTGATATTCAAATAGATCTCTCCCCACTTCACTGGAGCATGAGTAATAAACATAGTGAATTGTAAAAAATTGACACGTGTCTGAAATTTTTGAGAACAAGGCCATTAGAAATTAGATTCTATGAAGTCTAAATCCTCATTTGTATTAGGTAAAATAATATTGCAGAAAATGCTATTGAAGTGTGATACAACTATTTCTGTATATTAGTAGATAGCCCACAGAGATTTACTGAACTTGTTAAAATAATTCTCTACAAGGAATAATCCAGTACAACCAATTTTATTTCTGTTTCATGTAGTAGTTCTCTCTCATAAAAATAAATATACTATTAAATTATGATCTTTCTGGAGTGCCTGGGTGCCTCGGTCCATTAAGCATCTGGCTCTTGATTTCCGCTCAGGTCATGATTTCAGGGTTGTGAGATTGAGCCCCATGTTGAGCTCCTTGTAGGGCTCCACATTCAGTGGGGTGTCTGCTTGAGATTTTCTCCCTCTGCTCCTCCCCCTGCTTGTGCACTCTCTCTCAAATAAATACATAGCAAATCTTTAAAAAAAAATAAAAACTAAATTGTAATCTTTCCAATTACCAAGTTTACATAAAGGTTTGTGTGTGTTTAGTGTATAATGTTTGTGTATATATAATATATATAATATAGCTCCATTTGGTAAAGATCAGATGGCTTATAAAAAATAAGTACAGTAAAATGGAAAATACAAACATGTTTTAAAAAATGAGAGTTGGGAAATATATAAATTAAAATAGAAAGGTAAAATCAGAGAAAAAACTTGAACAAAGATTCTACTATGTGGATCTACCTGGTTAATAACATTGAGATATGTTTGGTTCTGAATTTCCTGGCAGCCAAAGGAAAAAGAGAAATATACATGACTATTTATGTGATTCTTACTACCCATAAGGTGATACATAGCAATTCCTCAGGAAAGAAAGTGTTTCCTGGCACTGGCACACAGTTCTGATAATTTCATATAGAACTTCAACAGGAGAACACATGAGGGATCTAGTGGCATTCAAAGCTGTTGAGGCTGATGCAGTAGAGGATTTGATAAGATAGCTTCTTTTAGGGCCCATTAACAAGCTGAGAACCTAATGCAAAATGTGTAGCTCAATGAAAAAAATTTTGAGTGACCCATGAAAGTAATTTGCTCCTAATCCATCAAGAAATTTATGAGCTAGAGAAATTTACATCGTGATCTTTACAAAGTCTATACAAGCAGGTAGATCTCATAGTCTTCAAATGATTTTGAATGTTTTTCACAGCTAGACTTTTTTTTTAATTTTTAAAGATTTTATTTATTTATTTGACAGAGAGAGACACAGCAAGAGAGGGAACACAAGCAGGGGGAGTGGGAGAGGAAGAAGCAGGCTTCCTGCTGAGCAGGGAGCCCGATGCAGGGCTCAATCCCAGGACCCTGGGATCATGACCTGAGCTGAAAGCAGATGCTTAACGACTGAGCCACCCAGGCGCCCCCACAGCTAGACTTTTGATTAAAGCTGAGCCATAAACAATTCCCATTGTTGTTGTTTTTTTTTTTTTTTAAATAACCAATACCTGCTTAGAGACTGGATCCAAATACTTGACGGGGTAGACAAGCAGAGCTGGCTTCACAAGGTAGAAACTGTGTGGCTTTTTAGGAAGGGTCTTGCTGGGGTGTGGGGAGAACAGGTATTTGCCCTTGTGATTATTTTTAAAAATTCCCTCTGAAGTATCTTCCCCATTGCTTGAAGATCCCTTTAGCAGTGAATAAAGTCTATTGTTGGCTAAAGAGAAACATGATTCATAATGCAGAGCCTTTTGAGAGAGAGTGAGAACATACTGATTTAATTCTTCTCCAAATAGAAGTGATTGATATCAGATTGTTGTCTGAAAGCACTTTCCCCAAGTGGAAAGAACTTCGGGTTCTTCAAGGCTGAGGGGGTGAAAAGGTAGGTTCTGTTCAAGCCAGTTCACCTACAAAAGCAAACACCAGTGCTGCTTCCAAAGGTGCTTGCTGGCAGCCCTCAGTCTCTACTGGCCTGTTGACCTTTTCTTTGAGTTCCATCCATAATGTTCCTCTGAAAGAGAACTTTCCAATTTACAGCATTACATGAACATGCTACTGTTGCTAAGGACCCAAAGTGTTATTTACACACGGGAAAGCGTGGTAGGTGTGAAGGTATGCGTTTTGACAACTGCCATTTCTCCGTGCAGTGATCAGCTTCTCTTTTGACCTTGTCCATCCATTGCAGAGAGGTGTGGCCTAGTACCTGTATCCTCACGTAGTCCTGGATACTTGGGATGGGAAGTCTAGAAAAGTCTTTGTTCATAGTAAAAACCATAGGGAATGCAGCAGTGTTGAAGTGTTGAGCTGTATATCATGATATTGTTCTGGTAAGCATAGAAGAACAAAAAGAGGGTTTTGTTCTCCAAATATCTAACTCCTAGCTAGGGTTATTTTTTAATGTGCAACCTCAGATTGATGTCAATGGAGAGCAGCTGGGAGGTCCCGGGACAGTGACTAAGTGGGAATATGCAGTAATGACAAGTGAAAACTTAGTTTCTAAGAATTTTGTTTTTGTGGAAATCCCCCTTAGACTAATGATAGAAGAGAAAACATGTGGTGTGTGTTGGGTAGATCATTCCCCAACAGGATGTTTTATTTTTTGTGTTTAGTCTTCGTCCATAGTAACAATTAGAAGGGATGCATCAAAAATAAAGTATGCAGACCCTGTGACCTATCTTGTAACCAGCACAAATTAGTTTTGGGGTAGGAAAATCTAGCTGCATATTAGTTTTATTAGATGTTCCCAAACATTTTATTGCAATATTTTGGGAAAAAAAACATTACAAACAAACCTAAGTTTTCAGTGTGTTTCCTATTCAATACATATTTTGTTTTTGAAGGATTAATTAAGCTGTATGTTTATAATTCTTTAGTTCTTAATTCATCAAAATGCTGCCTTTTGGGAAAACCATGTCAGCATAGGAAGATTATTCTTTTCCCCAACAATGTGTTCCTAGAAAGGGGGATGTGTCTTCAGCACCGTCACTACCCACCCCCAAATGTTCTCCAAACTTTAAAAACACTTTTAAAAGTTCAAACCATTACTCTTCATTTGGTTCTAGTGATACTGAAATAAGTTTCTTCTGGAGCACCTGGATGGCACAGTCAGTTAAGTGTCTGACTCATGATTTCTGCTCAGGTTATGATCTCAGGGTCGTGAGATTGAGCCCTGTGTCGGGCTCCACACTCACTGGGGAGTCTGCTTGAGATTCTCACTCTCCTGCCCCTCTGTGCTTCCCCCACCCCTGCGCTCTCACTCACTCTCTCTCTCAAATAAATAAATAAATAAATAAATAAATAAATCTTTTAAAAAAATAAGTTTTTTTCTATTACAGTGATCACAGTTGCCACTGTTAACTGAGTGACTAAAATGGGCTGAGCACTGTGTATGATTTTTATCTTCTTTAATCCTCTTTCTGTCAATGAGGAGATGGAGGCTCAGATGTCAAAAACCTTATACAAGTCAATGGCTACTAAGCAGCAGAACAGAATCACTCCTTCCTTCAACACTCAACAAATATTTATTGAGCACCTCCTTTGTGCCAGAGACCTTTTAGTTACATAGGATACATCAGCGAATAAAGTACCTAAGGCCGCCAAGGAGCTTACATTCTAGTTGATGAAGACAGAGAATCAAAATATAATGTAGTGTTGCCAGATGGTGAGAAGGGCTGTGGAGAAAAATGAATAAAAGGAAGAGAAAGAGGGAGTCAAGGGTAGTTTGCGTTCTGAAAAAGATGGCCACAGATGTGTTAACTGAGAATTTGACATTTGAACAAAGCCCTGAAGGAGGTGAGGGAGTGGGACATGCAGATATGTGGGGGAAGAGTAGGGTAGATGGGGTGCTGTGAGTGAGGAGGAGTGCAGAATGGTGGGGGCAGAGGCGCAGTTCATGCAGGACAGGGGTTCTCAAACCTTAACAGCACCAAAATCACTTGAAAGTCTTGTTAAAGATTTTATTTATTTATTTATTTATTTATTTATTTATTTATTTATTTATTTAGAGAGGGAGAGAGTGCATGAGCAGGGGGAGGGGCAGAGGGAGAGAGAGAATCTCAAGCAGACTCAGTGCTGAGCGTGGAGCCCAACAGGGGGCTCTATCTCACGACCCTGAGATGGTGACCTGAGCCAAAATCAAGAGTGGGATGCTCAACTGACTGAGCCACCCTGGTGCCCCTTGGAAGTCCTGTTAAAACACATGTTGCTGAGCACTTCTAGAGTTTCTGATTCAGAAGTTTGCCTTTCTCCCAAGGTTCCAGGTGATGCTGTTGCTGATGCTGCTAGTCCGGGGATCACGCTGTGAGATCCACTGGGGCTGTTGTAAGAGTCTGGCTTTTGCTGTCAATTGCATGAAGGTCAATGGCTGGTTGTGAGTACAATATAGACAGGTCTGTGTGCTACTAGAGTACAATGTAGGAGACAAGAGCAGAAGAAGGGAAACCAGTTAGGGTGCTATCACAGCAATCCAGTTAAGAGTCATGGTGACATCATCAAGGTATGTTATCTCCATTCTGAGTCTATTGGAGGTTGTCCTCTAAAGCCAAACATACTAAGCATTAGTTGTGTTCAACCTAGAATTCCTTTGGTTACATCTTTAGCTTGAATAAGTATATGAATTCCTCTTCATAGAGCTGCTGGTCTACAAGTTTGTGAAAAGGACAGAAAAGATGAGGAGCTCAGAGTTGAGACACTTTTCCAAGAGAGCTGACAAGGCTATGCCGAGGAACATGAAACTTTCTAAAGAGATCCTTGTGGAGGCAATGGGGATGCCAGTGAGGATGGTGGGTTGGAGGGAACCAAAATTTGGCCTTCAGCTTCTTGCCAGTCTGTCTACGAGCTGATCCTTGGTAGCACGGGAAAGGCAGACATTCCCAGCATCTCAAGAAATGTTGTTCATGGTGCCGGCACAGGCTCCCTGAGATACCCAGATACATGAGGGTCACATAAGGAAAGAGAGAACTGAAATGTGACGCCGCCTTTGCTTCCTTCCTGATATGCAAAATGAGGGAAGCAGTGAAGGGAAAGAAGGTTGAACATGGAGCCACCAGCCTCCAATTAATAATTGTGCGACTTGGGCCAGGACCCTGAATCTCATCTGCAAATGCGAGTAACAGTAGTGCTTGTCTCGCTGCAGGGCTCGAGCGAGGATACTCATCAAATGTTAGTTGTAGGTATCATTCTTATCACAGTGAAATTTGAGGAGATTTCCATCAGCTTTTCAACTCTGACATTTCATGGTCCCTTACCAAGATTCACCGTATACACAAAAATGGCACAGTGAAACATAAAATTAGGGACAAAGGGGAAAACAGTGGAAATGCCGTGGATGTTAAAATTCGTGATGGTGATGGGAGAGGGAGGAACTGTAAGCCCCACGAAGGAGAGAGGAGGAAGAGAAGATAGATAGAAAGTGGAGATACGATGGAGAATGGGAAGGAGAGGTGTTAAGGTAGAGAAACCAGAAAAGGCAACATAACAGAAGAGGGGAATGAGAAAGAATGGCAAGGTGGGAAGCATCAAAAGGTCATGAAACTGCTTAGCAGGGCAGGGCATAACCCTGAGGCAAGTCATTACCGTGCCCCACCCGGCATCAAGGCAGATGTCCCTTCCAGAGCCTCCATGATACACAGGATGGCCATTGGCTGGTGCTGCAGAAGTATCTACAGTTTTGAGGGGCAGCGGGAGACAGCAAGACAGGGGGCAGAGAGGTTGCACGTTAGACTTTGGAGACTACTTAGGTGTGGTGTCTGTTACATGTAGACTCAGGAAATCTGATACCCATGCAGACCCTTTAGGCAGATTAGCTGAGAACCCACACAGTTTTTACCAGTCCCCACGTGAGCACATGAGGACCAGGAGTCCTTCTTCTGCACATCCTGGCGTTGAGCCCTGTGTGACCTGCTCCTCCGACGGATGGAAATGACAAAGACAACAACCCCCATCCCTTGTTTAATGCTCAGATGGGCAGTGTTAGTTGCATTTAGCCGATGAAGACAGTGAGGCTTGGTTTGTAAAGGGGTATGGGAGTTCGAACCTGGAGCCTGGCTCTAAAGGACTATCTGTTAGCAAGAAACTGTCTTCTGACGGTTTTCAGGAACTCATTACTCAGCCTTTTAGCTTCTCTCAGTTCTCTGGCTCTCTGCCTGCCTGCCTGCCTTTTGGCTCTTTCACCCTTACACCCTGGAATTGTTCTTGAATAGAAACTGTAGGATTTGGTGTAGAATTTCTTTTTTCCCTCAGCTGTTGTTTCTAGAGTGCTTTTCTCCCCACCATCCACCTCTTCTCTTGTCACTTCCCATTATTGATTACTTAGGTTACCCACACAGTGACCTTGGCCCCTGAATCACCTGGTTTGTGGAGGTTCTTCACTGGTCCCACCCAACCTCACAAACACAGAGTGCCCATATTCTGGCCTGGGAGTCCGGAGGAGTTGTCCCATAGGATCAGCAAGTCCATGCGCAGCCAGGTGTTGTCTGTCATGTCACATCAAGCTATACAGAACTCCTAGGCTGTAGGAAAAGTCATCCAATGCCAAAGTTCAGGAAGTACTCCACCCCTCGTGTGTCTTTCTGGGCATAATCCTTTTCTAACTCGTCTTCATCTACCACATCTGGCATGCTACCATACACACAGAAGTTCAGAAAGTATTAGGGTCGTTCACAAAGAGTAGATTACCCATTGTAAACGAAAGCAGTGTCTTTAGGAAAAACCTCTGGTGGGGTGGTGTGCGCATGGGAGGATTCGAGCATTCTACAATAACCACGCCACAATCCAACACCAGAAAATGTGATTTTTTTTTTTAAACCATAATGAAAATCAGTCACTTGTAAGTGTGTTGAGTGATCAAGTGATTTGGCCATGAATCTATAAAGAATCATTTCCTGTATCCAGGGATGATCGTGTTTCCTTTTTGTGTTTCTATTAAGTTGCTCTGGAGTAACACCACTGGGAGTGTTTCCCCAGCACAATGAAGTTGGCAGTTGAGTCACCTGTTTGTGATCGCTAAACTTTTATGAACCCTTAGCAGATCCATTTGCCAGCATCTTTTAAAGACTCCAGATTTTCCCAAGCCTTTTGTGGTAATAGCTGATGCATCGGAAGTAGAACTGGGAGCTATTCTTTGTCAAGAGTTAGAAAATATAGGCAGTCTTGTCTTCCCCATAAATGTAAGTTGTTGTTGTTGTTGTTATTATTATGTCAGCAGTGAAGGGCTCCCTGGAGAACTGAAATACAGCATCACAGAGAGCTCGAGTCTTGCTGTGGAAATGGGCAGTAGGAGTAGAATGATATTATCTCGTGGTAATGAATTTACCTTTATGACAGATCATTATCCCCTTCTGGAGCTGAACCGGATGAAGGACAAGTCTAACAGAATAACCTCGTGGTACTTGGAATTTATTGGCTTTAAATTTTTAAGCTGGAAAAATGCAATAGCAACCAGGTTATCTCTGTATGAATGTTGCAGAGGAGGACAGAGATGAAGGAAGTCACATTTTCTTGCCGCTAATGGTAGAAAGCAGGTGGTAGTCACAATCTTTAACAAAACAATGCATGCAGTTTCTCCTCTGCTTTGCCATTTTAGGGCTTGAGTCAAATGATTAAATGAGTAGGAAAAAAAAACATAGGACATCATCATCATCATTGGTAATAAAAATTACTGGAGGTCTCATTGAGTGTGACACCAGAGGAAAAGAGCAAAGATTTATTTTTAAAATGAATGAGAGGAGATTCCTGTCCCAGGTGTGTATAATCCGAGGTCATGCTGTAACAGCTGTATGTAACATAGGGCCGTCATGTATTAGTGAGCTGTTGAGGTTAGTAAATTGTAGTTTTGCATAGAGGCAAGCTGTGGTATAATGAGACAGGCGTCCCGATGGGACAAAGTTAGGCTTAAAATCATTTCTGTCTACATCCTGGCTTTGT